GTCCTGGTTACCTTTGTACCATCTCAGTTGATGCGAACAATGTCTTCTGGCCTGGTAGTCAGTTAATTGTTGACCCATATTTACCAGGATCATTCTGAAAACTGTTTTGATGCAAATTTTGTGTGAGTTATGTTACTCTGCAAAAATTACAGTATTTTATAATATTCAAATGGGTAGCTGTATTGCTTTGAAGCAGCAGAACAAAGTTTGAGTCCAGTGGCACCTTTAAGACCAACAAAACATTGAGACCACTGGACTCAAACGTCGTTCTAGTATTTAATAAGGTTATGTAGCAACCACCGCTTTTAGAAATAATAATACCTTAGACTGAGGTATTCCTTGCCCCAAGAATTATGCTTGACATAATTTCAAACTTTAAAGAACATAAGAGAAGCCAATGTTGGATTAGGTCAGTGGCCCATCCAGTCCTACACTCTGTCACACAGTGGCCAAAAATACCTGGTGCCATCAGGAGGTCCAGCAGTGGGGCCAGGACACTAGAAGTCCTCCCACTGTTGCCACCCTCCAAGCACCAAGAATACAGTGCATCACTTGCCCCAGACCGAGAGTTCCTATCGATACCTTGTGGCTAATAGCCACTGTTGGACCTCTGCTCCATATGTTTATCTAATTCCCTCTTGAAGCTGTCCATGCTTGTAGCCGCCACCACTTCCTGTGGCAGCGAATTCCATGTGTTATTCACTCTTTTGGGTGTTCTTTGAAAACATATTTATTATGGAAGACCTTTGAGAAAATCTGAAGATTTTACCTTGGTTTTAAATGATCTTACATTGACTTTACTGGTTTTGGTTAATTTACTGTTATTCGTTAATTAAATTATTGTGGTTTTCATATGCTTAGTTGTAAGCTGCCATGAGTATTTTTGAATGAAAGTTGACCTTAAAATGTGCTAAATAAATACAAACTGTTAGTGACATTACATTATGATGTGAATAACCATTAGAATCAATGGGAATTGTAGCAATGCTTCAGTATGAATAAACTGAACAATAAGGCTGCAACCGTAAGTTTTCCTGGGAAAATGTCCCTTTGAAATCTGTGATTTGTTTTCAGTTTGAGTTATGGATCAAAGTGAATGATGCTAATGGCATAATGTGGTGATCTATTGTAATGTATATGTCAGAAAGATAAAGTGAAATACATATGACTGGCTTTAAAGTATCTTTAATTGCTTAGATATGGAATGGTTTTCTGGAAGTATTATGTTTGTAAATTTAATTTTTAATCAATTTTTGTACAAACTATTACAAAACTGTTTACTTTAGAGGTAGGGTTGTTATGTAAATATATTTATATTAACTTAATATATTGGAATACTTTAACAGGTAAACAACGTCAAAGAAGCTGTCCAACAAGCAGAAAATGGGAGGTTATTTCCAGAAAGCATTCACAGCATGAATGTGTATTTGGGGTAAGTTGTAAAAATTTACATTTTTTAAAAAAGACGTTTGAGGAAAGAGCTTTTTATAATTGGCATTTTATGTATGTCTTAGGTTAGATTCTGAAGCAATCAAAATGATTTTGTACCAGGATTTAATTTATGCTTTCCTAACATGACGGATGATGTCTCTGATGTCACACAAGTAGCTGCTAGACAAAGTGCAAAAGAGCTATAATAAATTCTCAGAAATTTTGTAGGGTCATCAGCCAGTGCCATAGTTGTCAGGATGACAGAATATGTCATAGCTTCTGGTTGTTTTTTTGTAAAATCAGCAAGTACATACAGCAAATGGGCAAGAAAATTTCATTAAATGACTACAGTTTGGTGTAGTGGTTAAGTGTGTGGACTCTAATCTGGGAGAACTGGGTTTGATTCCTCACTCCTCCACTCGCAGCTGCTGGATGACCTTGGGCAAGCCATAGTTCTGTCAGTTTGTTCTCTCAAGGACAGTTCTGGAAAGAGCTCTCTCAGCCCCACCTACCTCACAGGGTGTCTGTTGTGAGGAGGGGAAGGGAAAGGAGTTTTGTGAGCCGCTCTGAGACTCCGAGTGAAGTTCAGGGTATAAATCCAATCTCTTCTTCTTCTTCTACAAATTATTTTGCATCAAGAGAATGTTATGGTATACTATCTGTTTAGTTTTTAGAGCCATCCTGAACTATAATTCTAGAGTCTGAGAGACAGTGGCTCAAGTCCATGGTTAGACTGTGATATAAGCTCTGGTCACTGAAGTGCCTGGTTTATCATTCTATCTCCTGCTCCTCCTTTGCATTTAATGTTTTGAATAGCCAGCGTGGTGTAATAGTTAGGATCAGTGGACCCTAGTCTGGGGAACTGGGTTTGGTTCCCCATTTCTCCACATGAAGCCTGCTGGGTGACCTTGGGCCAGTCACATTTCTCTCAGAACTCTCTCAGCCTCACTTATCTCACAAGGTGCCTGTTGCAGGGAGAGTAAGGGAATGTGATTGTAAGCCGCTTTCAGATTCATTAAGGTAGAGAAAAGGGGTATAAAAACCTACTTTTCTTCTTCTTTTGAATATGATCAGTTGTCCGAATGAAACCCAACACTCTGAGTTTTCTCAGAAGCTGTTTAGCAGAAAGGACTCCATGCAACAAATGGGTCTGCTGGACTTGAATTTTGAATTTTATTGATAAAATGGCAGTAAAATAAACTTTATGATAAACATAAATTTTCAAAAGATGAATAAGTGGGGCCAATACATTGATAACTGCAACTCTTATTCCCTCAGTGCAAGACCAATAAGTAGAGCTCTTGACCTAGGAGCTGATATTGTGGTGACTGGCAGATGTGTTGACAGCAGCCTTGTATTAGGACCACTAATCCATTCTGTAAGTGTAAATTGATGCTTCTTATAGCAGTAGGCTACTGGCAGATGTTGCAAAGCATTGCTTATATGATTTCTGCTCATTATTATTGTAAGGTTTTTACTATATACCCCAGTTACCTGATGGGTTTATAAGAGCTCAATATGACATTTGGTAACTGCAGCTGAAACCCCCCCACCATTATTTACATTTGAGTTGTTATTATTCATTCAAGTATCACTGTGTAATCTTTGTGTGATGAAATAAAGGATAAAATATCTCAGTTTATGAAGTTGTTCTCCATTAGGAAATTGTCCTAGATTAACTAGATAATTTTGCTTTGTACTATTTTTCATATTTACAAGCTTGTCTTTCTAGATGGATGGATTTTTCTTTCTTTCTTTCTAAAGGACACAGAAAACATAGGTTGAGGATTTCAGAATATTTGTTTTGTTCTGCCAAACAAACATATCCAATTTTATTGCATCAGTCAAGTTTCTTTAAATTGTATTCTATTGACGTTCCAGAAAGCACTGCCTTTCCTTTTCCCATTCCCCCCCCCAAAGGCTGATCACCGAAAGGGGCCTGTCTCAGACCAAAAAAACCCACATGTTGGTGAGGGAGGGCTGCATGTGGAGGGAAATTTGGTGAAAACACCTCTCCTTCCTCTTATTTCAGTAGAATAGCAGTAAAATGTTTTTGCACAACATTTCAGGTGCGTAGCTGTGTTTGTCTGAAGCAACAGAACAAATTTTGAGTCCAGAGGCACCTTTAAGACAACAGAATTAAACTTGGTTGGTCTTAAAGGTGCCACTGGACTCAAACTTTGTTCTGTACAACATTTCACATTGTTATTTATGAGCTTTTGCCATTCTTCATTTTTTATTCTTTGTTGCTTTTCTCATGATACGTCTAACTGTAGATACTTACTCACTACTGTGTTTAATTTTTTTCTTCAGTACAGAAAGGTTTGATTCCATGTGCAACATGTGAATAATGAAACTCGCCACAAGGTGGCACAAAAAGTCAGATAGCTTTTAAAAAATGTTTTAAAAAATGTTGATAATTTCTTTTTAAATCTGACTTTTTAGGTTAAAAAAAAATTGTGGGGAGGGGAAGGGAAAGGAGTTTGTAAGCCGCTCTGAGACTCCAAGTGAAGGGCGGGGTATAAATCCAATCTCTTCTTCTTCTTCTTACTCACTACCCTGTTTAATTTTTTTCCTAAGTACAGAAAGGTTTGATTCCATTTGCAACATGTGAATAATGAAACTCACCACAAGGTGGCACAAAAAGTCAGATAGCTTTTAAAAATGTTTTTTAAAAATGTTGATAATTTTTATTTAAATCTGACTTTTTAGGTTAAAAAATTAATGTAAGCAAGTATTCCTTGAGCAGGCACACAGCATTTTCACTGCATTTAATTAAAAAATTAACCATTGCTAGAAACAATGAAAAATTAAGTTTATGCTTTACAACAGGGGTCTGCAAACTTTTGAAATTCTAACACTGCATGGTGGGCACAGCCACAAAATGTGTGGCATGGGAGGTAGAGAGCCAGCCACAAAATTGCTGGCACAGCTTACTTTCAGTCACACAGTGAAGATCCTTATGCTGTGGTGGCAGTTAATGCCAAAGCTACGTTTTCAAAAAACTTCAAAGCCATTCAAATATCAAATGGACAATCAGAAGCCTTGTTGGGAAAAGCCTCACCTGACCCCACACATTTTCTAAAAGCACTTGGCGGAAAGGTGTCAGCTGATGCCCTGGCGCCCTTGGGCACCATGTTGGAAACCCCTGCTTTACAGCCTTAGTATTTAAGCTGCTAGCATATTCAGGTGCTGTGTTTTAAAGATACCTTTTATTAATCTTCTTTATAGCTCTAAAATATTTTACCTATTTAATCTCTGAGACATGATCAATTCCTCTTTGGGAGCAGCTCTGTATTATGCAGAATTCCCTTAGCCTCGGTAGAACCTGGTTTTCTGCCCTGTCCCATCTACATATGAGCATGTCAGTTTGTACAAAGCAAAGGATTGGATCCCTCCTTATAGTTTGCTGTTTCACCTGGTTGTGTGCCAGTGTAGAGCAAGGAGGGCGAGGGGAAAGGTTCTTTTGCACCTTTGGCAATCTGCAGTGTTGCACGCATTGCGATTTGGATCATGTTCTCAATATTACGTACATCATATAATTGTACTGCGCTTAACGTTCTAAACCCTTTTTTATTTAAATAGTTTGGCTGGAAGAGAAATGAATTCAACCTCTTAGCAGCTGGAAGGTAAATTTGATGATATTGGCATGAACTGTGCTTTCCTAAGACACCCAACAATAGATATTTACTCACCAATGAAACTTTAGTCTAAAAGCTGCATGTTAAGTTCTTGCTTACAAATGTAATAATATCAGGTTTAGAAGATTAACCGTAGTGTCAGTGTAGGAGCAGTATGTTTCAGGGAGGCATACTGATGTTTGCCATGATTGTGAAGTTGATGGCAAGCTTCCACACATACATCGCCTGCTGCACTGTAAAAAATATGTACAAAAACAGTGTGGTGTATGCACTATATCAACTATTAGATCTTTGGCCCATGTGGCTCCTGACTATGGCATAGAGAATCTGCACACTTTTCAGTGTCACCAGCACTGAATTTCTTTTGGGTTATGTGTTTGTGCTGTACTAGAATTCAGTCTTTCTGCCCTTGATACTTCCCTACGGTGGGCTTCCAGGATCCCCACACACATCCCAAACAGACAGGTGACTCCATCAAGCCTGATAGTACCTGCCATCTCTTCAGAGATGCATGAACCCTGACCAGGATCCACTGATGCCACTAGAACAATGTGGAGCCTCAATTTGGGGAAGAAGCACATCCTCCAGAAGAAGGCTTCTTGCAACTGAGGAGAGCTCCACACTTAGTTAAGCAGAACAGTGGGTATTGGTGATATCAGTGTTCAAGCATCTCTGAAGAGGTGGCTGGTGCGATCAGGTTTGATTGTGTTGAGGAAAGCCCCTTTGTGTTGGAGGAAGGCTCCAAGCTTATCTGAGTAGGAGTAGCAGGATCTGGTTTTAGATTTGTGGCCAAAGTATATGAAGTAAATGAATCAGAATTTAAATTAGCTTCCTGTTTATACAGGAAGTCAGATTAGATAGAAGAAATGTTACTTCTGTCCATCGAATGGATGGAAGAAGCTACGATATATTAAAAATTATATAAGCTGTCAGTGAACACATTTAGTTTTGGAACCCTTCCATACTAAAAACATAGAATTTCTTCCTTACACAGTGGTAACCTTTAAAATCAAATGGCCTGTAAAATCAAAATATATGGAAAATACTTTGTGAACAGCTCGGGGGGAAAGTATAATTTTTGTTTACTTTAGATTTTTCCTTGTAAGAAATTAAAATCTAATCTGGATATTAGGGTGTCTAGCATTAAATTAAAATCCTGATAAATCTGTATTGTAGCTTTACTCCTGGTTTTTCAGTGGCCGGTGGCATCTGATTGAATGTGGTGCTCAATGTACAGGTGGAATATTCACTGACTGGCATACTGTATCAGACTGGTAGGTGAATTCTGTTTTACTTGCTGTTTAAAGACATATGCTAGAAAATGAAACTGCTTTTCAGTGATGGTTTTTTTATTCAGCAGCATAGTTTATATGAATTCTGTTAATTTCCTTTCGGAGTTATAATGCCTGATATAGCTGGTGTCCCTTAGGAGTTACATAGTGGAGGCCAAGCCATGCATAAATCTTCAAATGTACTTTTAGCTTGCTTTCAGCTATTATAGTTGTACTTTAAATTCTTTGTCTCACAGTAACCCAGCAAGCTGTCCAGTGTCTCCTACATGCCCTACATTGCTGTTCTCTAGCTACCAGCCTAGAATACAGGCTCTTTGTAATGGACTATGTGCTGAAGTGGAGGGTTGTTTTTTTGTGTGTGTTTGGTGCAAGATTCATGCACTCTTGCACTTCAGAGACTTAGAAACACTGAATATGGTGTATGTGTGTTTAAGTGCAATTGTATTGTCCAGTGGGAGCATGGTGAAAGTAATTGCAAGTTTGCTCAACTGTGTCATCTCCAGGGAAACTTGTGCTGTTAAGTGTGTTTTTGGCTTTTTAAGGAATTCTGACTACAAATTAAAGCTTAAGGACTCTGCTAGCTCCTGGGATAGACAGGAATGGGTGTTCACCCAAATAATGCCTTCTGAGAATACTGCATTGTGCCAGCTGGCACTTCCTTGTGTCAGTAGAAATGGTGTGCTCTATTTTTCTTTAAGACCTTAATAATAGTAACTGGTATCTCTGAACCTAATCATTTATGTCAGTGTAGTCTGCAACATTTAACCCTGCAGTATTGATGCATTTCCAGTGTTTATAAGGTACTCTCCATCAATATATCTTAGTCTAGTACAGTAAAAAAATTGGGTACAGGCCTTATTTATCTCTGCCTTGGTTCATAGGGCAGACACATTATGCACAAATAATCACCCCAGTAGCTGTAATGGCTGCCTGTCCTTGGAGCAAACAAACATCAAGATCACCCCTCAAGCTATTAGGGGAAGTAAGGAAAGACCTGTCCTGGTTCAGTTTCCTTGTACTCTTTAGCCACATCCCTGAGATGCAGTGAGTCTTCATTTGTGTTGATAGGTTTTTAAAAAGGGGGGAAATCAACATGTGTTATACTTTTTCTTCCCTCAATTTATGCTGTTTTCTAAGACAGCAGTTATACATTTTTCTTATTGGACTGTTACAAACATCAGAATATTAATCATTCTGTCATCCTGCTTTCTTTTTTTATCTATCTGTCCCTTTGTTATCTCTAATGGTAGGATGATAATACTCCGTATCTCTATTATTTTTATTATTTGAAGTAGTGCAGTTGTTTATTAGATTTTTCTTAATAGGTTATTCTCATTCCTCCTACAATAATTAAAACTTGTTACATGTAGTAGTGATTGATAACATTCTTTACAGTGATACCATGTATTGGTTGTTGTTAAGTATATAATATATTTTAAAGTCATAAAATGTTCAATATTTTCCAATCTTCTAGGCATAACATCGGTTTTCCCATAGTAGAATGTTCTTCTGATGGAAGTTTTATTGTATCTAAACCACCCAACACAGGAGGCCTGTTGTCTTTTGGCACAGTGGCAGAACAGTTGGTTTATGAAATTGGTAACCCTAAGGAATACCTCTTACCTGATGTCACATGTGACTTCTCTCAAGTTTCTATTATTGAAATCCCAGGTTAGTGTTTCCTGTTAATGGATAATTTTTTTCTTAATAAAGAAGAGAAGAAGAGATTGGATTTATACCCCACCCTTCACTACCCAAAGGAGTCCCAGAGCGGCTTACAAACTCCTTTCCCTTCCCCTCCCCACAACAGACACCCTGTATGGTAGGTGGGGCTGAGAGAGCTCTGACAGAAACTGCTCTTTTTCAAGAACAGCTGTGCCAGAACCAATGCTCCCTCTAAGCTATGGAGTCCTGCGAGCAAAAATTCTACTTTGTAAACTACTGGCATTAAAGTTGTGAGTGAGCAATTTTGCTGCTGCATAAATTACTTTGCTCTGGAGTTCTCCTTCCTGAGCTAAGACAAAAATATGTGAGCCAGAGGCTAAAAAACAGTGAGCTAGCTCACACTAATTCAGCTTAGAGGGAACATTGGCCAGAACTATGGCTTGCCCAAGGTCATCCAGCAGGTGCAAGGAGAGGAGTGGGGAATCAAACCTGGTTCTCCCAGATTAGAGTCCACGCACTTAACCACTACACCAAACTGGCTGTTTCCTGCACAGCTTTATTGGTGGCTGTCTTTCCACAGTATACTTTTATAGGTACGTACAGAAGTACATAAAAGCTGGATCTGCTCTTGTTTTATATAATCCTTACTTACTACTACAATTTATAAGTCTGTAGCAAACAATTCAACATAAAAAAGAAACAGAAGTCCCTTTGCCAAGAAAAGCATGCTCGTAATATGACTGCATGTGCAATTTTCTTTTGAGAAATAGAACACAGAGGAACAGGTTTTGCCAGTCTGAAGGATGAGGGATTATACATAATACTGATAGGTTGAGTACCAGACTAGCTTTGTGAAGGAAGTGTTGGAGGAGGACAGGAACATGTACACCTATGCTGTTTCCCATGATTGCTCTGCAAGACCATACCCATTCTGTCTACAGGGAAATGGCCATGGTAGATGCAAATACTTTTTGGATTATGTATAATTCTTCTCCACTGACCTGTTTTGAGGGTGGTGGAGCTTGTGAAGTCTGTAATGGGTAAGGCAGCAGAGCACATCAATAGTGTGGGAGCAACTGCACTGAAATGCTGCAAGGTTGATTTATTGAAAGGTGGGATAACGTACAATTAAATAAGGCCGGTTCCCACAGATGTGACAGATTTAGATTAAACTCTACCTGGACTCCACCTGGTTGCCATTTTCAACTTGAAGCTCCTTTGGAGTCTTGTTTTGCTTAATATGTTGTTCTTATAGGGTTGGGGTGTCGAACTCATTTGTTATGAGGGCCGGAACTGACAAAAATGAGACCTTGTTGGGCCAGGCCATGTGTGTTATAAAATGTAATGCTAGGTAGCGGAGATAAATTTTATAAAGGACACAAACACAAAGATTTTTTTTAACTTAAAATAAAAACATACTTAAAACAATAGCTCTGTAAGCTTTTGATTTATTGACATTCACCACAGAAATCTCATGCTCAGAGTTCTGAGTCTAGGACCCAGGTTAAAACATGAAATAGCTGAGTGATTAAGAGAGTCTGGTGAAGCAAGCTATAATGCAGCAGCAGCAGCAGAACTAGAAGCAGGAGATGGCCAGTTCCATTACGGGCCTGATGGAAGCCCTCTGGGGGACTCATCCAGCCCTGGGCTGCATGTTTGACACCCCTATTATAGGGCATAGAGCATTGGCTTGATGTTTTTATGCCATGGGGGTCAGCAGAAAGGATGACAGAGGAGATTACACCTGCAGGGAAGAAATGAAAGTGGTATCCATAGGTGGCAACGAAAGTGATCTGATGTGTTGTGTATTCTAGGCAAATTCATTCAGTGGATACCCAGTTCAAAGTATACCCAGTCTTGCTTGTTATCAATGTAACAGCTACAGTACTGCTCGAGGGTGGCATTACGGCAGTCATTCTGATCATCTATCCGCAGGTGATATGCTGAGGGCAGGGGTACTTTGACTGTTAGGACCATGTGCAGAGTACATCAGAAGTGCACCAAGAACTGGTAACATTCAGGGACTCTGTGGTTGGGCAATCCACACAGCTGGAATAAATGCCGGATAGATACCTTTGCTCTCTCTTTGGCCAAGGGGTGCCTGCACAAGGGATGAAATGAGCTAAGTGTATCATCATCAGTACAGCAGTGGACATAGAGAGCTCTGTGATAAAGTTCATATACACTCTATGTACCTGATTGAGATGGTAAGTGTAGTCCAGCATTTTAGTTTGCCATATACTAAAACATGTCAGCCTAATTTAAGGCCACCAAAGTTTCCAATTTAGGAGGTACAAAGTTTTTAAGATCCAAAGGGCCTGTCAGGTTTAGAGTCACAGTGCAGATGCAACTGTTCTGCTTGTAGGATTCCATGTGGTATGTGACCTAAGGGTTGTTAGAAAACATCAACCATGGGGGAGGGGGGCCTGGCGTTCCCAGAAGTGAGTTGGGTGAGCCCCATCATTCTGCTGCTGGCTTCATATTCAATCCCTTATATTTGTGATGGGTGGCAGCATAATTCTCAGGATTAAAGGCTATGGCAGGAGGTTCTTCTGCTTAAGGCTTTCAGTAAAAACATATCTATTTTGCAGGATGGGCTTTGAATTTGAATTGTGAAAAGAACAAAACTGTTGCTGGCTTAGCTTACTTGGCAGATATTCAAGATTGAGGTGATCTGTGTATACCTTAACGGGTTGTCAGACTCGTTTTGAGATGCCAGGAGTTCTTGAAAGTTATTTTGATTGCTGTAATTCCTTATACCAGTGTTATAATTATTTTTGGTGGGAGCAAGTTTTCAGGAGTAAGATATTTATGATTGTAATGGCTCAAGGATTGACTTTTGCTGGATAAGACAGCACCAGTGGCAAGATTGGAAGTCTCAGTTTGCAGCACAAAATGTAGTTGGGGGTTGGATGACACAGTACAGCACAGATGAAAACTGTGCTCTCAGTGTTTGGGAAACCCTCTGGTGCTGAAGGGTTCATGGGCTTAGATTAGTAGTGTCAAGGGAACTGCAGTCTGATCATAATTTGTAAAGCCCATAAACCCCTGGATATCCTTCTGAGTTTGAGGTATAGAATGTGGGAGGCAAAAGTTAGATTGAAATTGAAGTTCTTGATATTCCCAGCGAGTCTCTGGGCTGTGGCAAGTCAATCATCATCCCTATCAGGAGTAAGGGAAAAAAAGGAGAGGTAACACTAAAGCAGTACTTTGTCTTGAGATCCACAGGGAGATTCTCCAAACTACCAGTCCAGCTAGTAAAAACTGCCCATCTGTGGTCACCATGAAGAAAGACGTTCAGCAGGCCTCTAAAGCTAGGCACGCTTGCCACCAATAGCTGTTTTATTCAAGACAGGTTGGAGTTGCACCACTACCAAAAGTGGATTTAGATTACTAGAATACAAGGCAAAAATCTTCAGTGGAATAAAATTATAAAGTTTGGAATATAAAGAAGATTTTATTCATTAAATAAAGCTAGACAACTTCTAGCTCTTTTTAGACAGTTCTTAATAAATAAGAAAGCAAGTGACCTTCCAATGAACTTTTAGTTTGTAAATGGCCCAATATGACACATTCGAACGTCAAGTGAACTTTCACATGAACTTTCAGTTAGTTATTCTACTAGAAATATAACAGATGGGAAATAGGCATATTTCTCAAATATCTCTAGATATAACTGCTTTGACACGTATATCAGGAAAAGAACTGCAGGCCTATCTACTTTTCATTTGTTTACTCTGCTGAATATTTTGTATGGCAGGATTAGATAAATTAGTTGGTTGAACTTAGTAATGCACTTTTTGTCATTTCTGTGGTGAAAGTAGCTGATGTCAAAATCCTAGTAATTTTTATGATTTTGTGATTTTATATGACAGCCCTTTGGGTAATGGTTTATCATTTGAATTCATTCTATTTTAAGACCATTGAAATTTATGTTTATTTAGATTCTTAACTTTCTTTGTCCAAAGTAGATATTTTTAAAATGTTTTATACTTCCTTAAAGTTACATTCACTCATTAAACAAACCATTCAGACCTATTCTAAAATGCTTTTTAATTTTTAAAATAATTTGAATTATCTAAGATTTCATATTTTCTTACCATGAAAAATTATTTATGTAGACATCAAACAATATTTTTCTTTGTGTGACAGTCACAGTCAGTATGTGATTCTAAAGCACCAAACTCCTCCCAGCAAAGACAGGGGAAAATAAGGAGCAATTATTATTTTTGTTTGCTAAGATATGGGAGTAGCTGATTCAGTTTTCTGTACATGGTTTAAATGATGACGTATCAGTTACCAACTACAATTTGTGTTTCCAGGTATGTGGAAGTTATTTAATTCATGGAAAATGGACATTACTGCTTCATAGTGGAATATATTTAGTAATTTCCCCATTGTTTAATGATTTCTGGACTTCAAGTTAGTAGGCCAACACTAGGAATTTGAACTGAGCCAATATGTATTCTTTGCTAGTAAAAGTTTCCCTTGCTTGAAAGCCAGTTGAATCTGACTATTGGGGGCGGTGTTCATCTCTGTTTCCAAGCCGAAGAGCCTGAGCTGTCCAAAGACTTATCCGTGGTCATGTGGCCGGCATGACTAAATGCCCAGGCGCACAGAACACTGTTACCTTCCCACGGAAGCAGTGCCTATTTATCTACTTGCAATTTCTTGCTTTTGAACTGCTAGGATGGCAGGAGCTGGGGCCAGAGACGGGAGCTCACTCCGTCATGTGGCACTAAGGTCTCGAACTGCCGAACTACAGATCTTCCAGTCTGCTGGTCAGCATCTTAACCTCTGAGTCACTGTGGCCCCTCAGTTCTTTGCTACTGTTAGCTAAAATGATATCTGTCACCAAACCCTCTGCCAAGCCCTCCTTCTGAGAAGGAAAGGAATTAATGAACATTTATTAAATTTGTAGGCAAGCAATAGGACAATAAAATCTGATCCACTGAAGTTAATGGCCCAATAAATGGAAAATGGGGCAAATCCAGTGCATAGAAGTAACTCCATATTCTGAGATTTTCACTGAGTGATGTTACTGTCTTTCAGGGAAAATAATTCAGTCATTTCAGACATAGTACAGTTTGCCTACCTGACCTGTCACTTTATTATATGTATCAGTAACCCAAACTAAACTATTGCAATGAAGTGTACACAGGCCAGCCCTCCTGTAAATTAAAACAGGTACAACATGTAACTGCTAGAATTTTAACTGGAGCTCATTGTAAGTAACATATGATGAGTAATTTCTATCTTCATTGGTTGCCATTCTATTTCTGGGACCAATTCAAGGTGTTGGTTTTGACTTGTAAAGGGCTAAACAACTGAAGGCCAAGATACCTTAAAGACCACTTCCTCCTCTATGAGGCTACCCATTACTAGTCTATTGTCATTGAATATCATTAGTATACCTCAGACACTCAAGATAATTGTTGCAATACACATGATGCTGCCTTATAATGAATCAGACCATTGGTCCACCATGGTCAGTATTGTCTTTGGAGACTGGCAGTGGCTCTCTGGGATCTCAGGAAGAGGTCTTTCATATCATCAAACTGCCTATTCCTTTTTTTGAATTAGGGATGCTAGAGATTAAACCCGGGACCTCCTGCATTCCAAATAGATGCTATGTTGATGACCTGTATGAACAATGGACTAGTAGTACAAATGTGACTATTTACATCTATGGGAGTTCCTTTCTTTATCAGTGCAAGGTTTAAATTCTTCACAGCCACCACCATAAAATTACTGTCCTGAAGAGCTGTCCTGGGTACTGAATATCAAGGTGCTTCTCACTGTCTCTCTGTGTGGGTTGAGTAATCTTTGCTCAGCTGTCATGTATTGTGCTTGACTCATATTTTACAAGCAAAAATGCTTATCTTTTGATATAGTTGGTGTGATAAGTTGAATTCAGAATCAGAGATAGCAACATTTCAATTCTTGTCTTTTTCATTCGGATTGAGTTAGGAAAAAGCTTTAAGAATATGGTATGTTCCACCTGTGCAAGGCATCTAAGAAGGGAAGTTACTAGGGGCCCATTAGTACTTGGTATTCCTGGGTAAAACAGTATTTTTGCAGTCAATTGGAAGATTCTTATGATTGTGTTTATTAATCCATGTCTACTTGAGGATTTATGGTCAGTGATTATTCCACAGTTATGCCGTGCAAAGCAGAAGGGATTTTTATTAGGACTGCTGGTGTATATTGGTTTCATAAACGATCTGTAATCTGGGGTGAGAGGAGTTCAGTGCACAATATTATGGGTAGCACAATATTTACAGTGTGTAAGTATAAATAAATACTAATGTATATTATTTGTAAGTAATTCTTAACTTCTGAAAATATTTTTTAGGTGTTGAAGGTGGTGCAGTGAAAGTTCAGGGAGCTACAGGATTACCTCCTTCGTCATTTTACAAGGTTTTTAAAAACTGTGTTAATAATAATACAGTACATTAATAATAATACAGAGAAAAGCCTTGGAGTGAAGAAAATATACAAGTAGACTTTACATGAGTCACTGTACTGAAATGATAACTCCTTCAGGAAATTCTTGTATGAATCTGTTTTGCATAATACTAATTTATTTTCACTTCAAAAATGTAAAAGGTATCACTCAGTTCTTGAAATATTTGACTAAAGCAAAAACTTGGAAATGAAACTATGCATTTATTGGAATGCATAATAATTTTGCAACAATTGTAATAATGATTAAAATTAAGTCAAAGGATTTAAGTATTTATAAATATAAATCCTTTTCATGTTACAAATACCCTGAGACTATATAAAGGATTAAATTTCTGGATTCTTCAGATGCAAAGTTGTTTAGTATTCTTCTGCATTTTAACTCACATTTTGAAATTACATTTAAAAGGTTCTGCATTATTTATTAGCCAAGGATGTCAACGTTTGTTTTGATGCAAACAGAATAATGCATTTATAAAATTGCTTTGAAACTTACAATTCTCAGTACAAAGGAGGAGTCTGTTCTGTAGTGAGTGCCAGTAATTATGGAAAACAAACCAAATTCTACTCGCATATAACATTTTAGCCATATTTTCCCCAACATTAATTCAGCTTATTCTTCTTGTGTCAAGGAAGATATTTGTTCAAAAGTATGGACCAAGCAGAATATGAAAGTATTTTTATTTGGGAGGAAGATGCAGCATATCTTGAATCTTTATAAAAATGATTACATAAAATGCATCCTTTTAGAAAGCAGCACGTATGGCTACCACAAACCAAGGTCTTAGTGAATTATTTAAATCTACTGGACAAGTAAATGTAGATCAACAGCTTCATCACTGTGGCATTCAGTTTAGTATGTTTTAATTACTACTTTTTTTACATTGGCAGCAGGCTCAATACCAGTTCTAATACTCATAGGTATCTTTACTTCATACTTGTCTAACAAGCAGACAAGTATTTGCATGTCCATTCCAAATGTGATAACGTACTTAGCAAGCAAAGTATTTTATAGACTATTCTGTCCATTGTCACAGGATTTCTGTTAGAGGAATAGTTATTTTAAGTTGTCTATGGGCAGGATTCAGGCTCGGTCTACACAAACCCAGAACAGTCAAACACATTTTTGTAAGCATATAAGTGATCCTGTGCTTTATTTCTTATCAATGCTAGGGCATCTTGCATATGTTCTGTATTTGTAGGTAAATGCCACTTATCCTGATGGATTCAAAGCTATAGCTTGCTGCCCAGTGACAGGACCAAAAGCCATAGAAAAGGGAAAACAAGTAGCTGAAAGTATTCTGGAAAGGTTGGTATCTAAAGCAAAATAGTTCCGTATGTGAGAGTCAGTGTGCTGTAGTGATCAGAATGTCAGACAAGGATCTGAAAGTCCCAGGTTCAAATCCCTCCTCTGCATGGAAGCTTGCCGTGTGTCCTTGGGCCAGTTACACCATTCTCAGCCTAGCCTACATCACCGGGATAAAATGAAGGAGAGGAGAATGACGTAAGCCACTTTGGGTCCCAATGCTCCCTCTAAACTGTGGAGTCTTGTGACCAAAAATTCTACTAAAGCTCAGATGAACTCGGTTTAGAGGGAACACTGGTTCCTACTGGATAGACAAGCAGAATATAAATGAAGCAATATGCATAAATAAATAATTTGGCCCCACTGAGTGTAAAATCAATTCACAGTGCTGATTTATGGATGTCCTAGTATCATAACCCTTGGTCAACATCCTAGAAAGGCACTATGTTAAATGAAGGGCAATACGATGGATCTGGTTTTGTTTATAAAAACATCTATTTATAGCAGTTAGTCTGTCTGGTGATACATTTGACCAGTGTGAAACTTGATATTCAGACTCAAACAATATGAGATTGCAGAAGATCCTCGTTCTTAAATATAGTCCTGCCCCTTTACGTGAGAAGCTGTGGGGAGAGTACAGTCTAAGGGGGCAAATTGACTCAGGGTGCTAAATCTTCCAAAGAGATTCACCCCCCCAATGATCTAGCTTCTTTTGTTGGAGCTGCCAAAGAGGAACGCACCTAGCAAGATGGACTGTGGGGAAGGGGGTAGTGTGCGTGTTTCAGTATGACTGGCCAGTGCTCCCTTTAAATCCCATGTACACACCCTTGCTTCACATGTGAATGGGACAGAAATCAAGGTGTGGATATTATTATCATGTGAAAATTTGGGCCTACACTGTAGAATCAGTTGCTACAAATATTCTTTTGAAACCATTTATTGATTATATTTTTCTTATTTCAGGACTCGCATGATGTTTAGTCAACTGGGATATGAGGATTACAGTGCAGTTAACATACAGATTTTAGGTTCTGAAGAAACATATGGACCACATGCCAAGAGAAACATAGATGGTGTAAGTACAAATTAGAAGGTCATAAACGTTGTATTATTCTTGTAACTTCTCCCATAATCCTCAAAAACAAGAAAGAAAGGAAGGAAGGAAGAACAAGGAGTGTATAAGTGAGAAGAAAAGATGTCCTTTTAGTTGTATGTTTTACAGTTCCGTCCTAAGTGTGTCTACTCAGAATGTTACTCAAGTCTGTTCAATGGGAATTACTCTGAGGAAAGTGTTCTTAGGATGGCACTGTAAGTCTGGTACTTCCAGGTGGGACCATCGGTAGGAAGTGAGAACAAAAGAGTGCATATGTGAAGATTATTCCTTTTAGTCATGGTTACCGGTTTGTCTCTTCTTTCCCATTTCTACTCACCATTCCTCTGGGAAAGTAGGAAGGAACACAAAGGGAAAGAAGGTCCTTTTCACTTGCTGCTGTTTAGTCTGATGTAGCAGAATAAAACACAAGTCCAGTGGCACCTTAAAGACTAACAGCATTTATTTCAATATGAGCTTTTGTGTGTCACAGCTCACTTCTTCAGATATGTGAAAGGAAGATCATACTGGGAATTCTTTTCATAGGGAAGATTACAAGGAGGGGAAGCAGTTGAGGCAGAGGGATTTGGTTTATCTTTCAAGTGTAAATTTATCTGGGGCGGGAGCAGGTAGAAAGCCTAGATGTCCCCTTTTTTACTACGGTAGTGCCTTTGATGTCCTTCAGTCTGGTACTTATTGTTTGAAGACAATTTTCGTCAACACCCCCAATTCAAATACTGTGCAAAGTACCATCATAAGTTTAACAAGGTAGGAACTGCATGTTCTTTGCAGTCCATTGAGGCTTCCTGAGGGAGTTCAACATTCTCCCTTGCTGCTGAGAGTTCAGTGCCATTGTGAACCCCATCCTGTTCCTGTAAAACAAAATTTTGTGAGTGAGTAAACCAAAATATTTGTTGTACTGCAAAAGATACAGTTGTTTAAAGGCAGTGCCTAAAGTGGTTTCTTGCTGAAGTTGTCACTCATCTTTTGGTACTCCCTTCCCAGACAGCTTTCTTTGCTTTATTCTACCTTTAAGAATAAGACTTTTTTTAAAAAAAATTGTAAAACATTTTTAGTCATGTCATGTTATTAGGTATACTTAAACTCTCCAACAATCAGTTTTCATGCTCAGGTTTATACTATTTTGCTGCTGTTTTTTGTTACTTTGCTTTGTGCTTTATTATTATTATTTGGGGAATGTGTTTGAATTTATTGGCAGTTTTATTTTTGTTTTGTAAGTTGCCTTCCCCCTGATTTCTCCCTTTTAAAATAGCATGTCCAAGATGGGCAGTTTTATTTTTGTTTTGTAAGTTGCCTTCCCCCTGATTTCCCCTTTTAAAATAGTGTGTCTGAGACAGTGGAGGTCTATGTGGTACAGAGAACCACTCCCAGCATCCAAAGTTATAAAGTATTTATTAAAAAGAAAATGTTCATAAGCATACTTTTAGCACAGCACCAGATTGAGCAAGGGGTTCCAAAAGAAATGCATAAAACACAAATCTTCTGTCCCTCTCTCTATACATACCCTATCAGATATTGAAATACAGGACAGGCTCTTTAGCTTTAAGAAGTTACAAATCTCTACAGAGTTTTTGTTACCTTGCAGCTCTTTCCCAGCTCTTCAGGCAAGCACATGGTCAATGGCTGCCTTCTCAGTTAAGAGTTCTGTCTGCTCTCATGGATCCAACACTCAAGGAAAAGAAAGCTTCCTCCTGGCTCCCCTGAGTTTTATCATATATGTTTCTCCACCCACTGACCTGGTCAGGCCAGGTCAGAGAAGCGTTTCCTGCAGCTTCTTCCTGGAGAGTATTCCTGGAGCTTTTCTAATCTCAAGTCCTCCAACTCTCTGTTCCCTTCTTAGAGAAGGGGGGAGAACTTGACCCATCCATTATCTCTCCTGCTAGATCTATTAGCATTTGTATGAAGGTAAGCCGAAAAGCAATTGGACTGTCTTCTCCCCTTTTGGCCTGTTCTCTACCCAGAAAAAAAAAAAACGTTTAAAACTCAGAGTGAAGGTTTTGCTCATTTCAAACCTCCAAAGAAAAAAGGCATTTCTTCACAGTTGTGTTGATTGGCCTTCCATAAAGTCTTTACATTATAGCCCTTGATTGCTTGTGCTAAATCTTGCCTCAGTATTAGAGCAACTCCATTTCTTCTGTGTTTGTCATTTCTTGAGTAAAACCCTCTGTAATTTCCTGACTGAAAATGTCCTAATCCAGTTCAGTTTAGTTCACTCACTCCCAGAATTGCAAGGTTTAAACATTACGTTTCTCATATAATTTTCAAGTTGAGTTAATTTATACATCACATTCCATGTTCCTGTTATATTAGCAGTTGAGTGTCACACAAAAGCTGTGTTCAGTGTCTAGATCTGAACATAAGCATTTCTGGAATTAAACTTATTTAATTAATTTTGGGTGAAAATATTCCTTATAGATACATACTGTTACAGAGGTATAGCACAGAACAATACAATAAAATATTCTTTCTTGATACTGTGTTTTGTCTTTCAGACTCTAAATTGGTTACATCCAAAATACTGTAGGCAGGATGGAGTTCATGGAAGGACTTTTTTCCTGCCTTTTCTTTCTTATGTTCGCTTATAGTCTCCAGCACACCAAACTATGGGCCAGAGTCAAAAGACATGAAAAAGAAGGGGAATGCTACAAAGAAGCCTTCCATGAGGTCTGCTCTTCTCACAGTTGTTTGGATCCAACGTAGAGTTCTCATGATCCAAATTTCTTCTGTACAAAATGTAACTTTCCAGACACTAAACTATGCCATTTGGAAGTTAACATTGTGACCCCATTACTGACAAAAGCCAGGCATTAAAAAGTTTATATAGGGGGCAAGTTCTAAAGTTTTAATTATCTTTAGAAGGAAGATAACTGGCAAATTAAAATATGAGTGTCAGCCACAAATGCTTAACACTCAGCATTTTAAAGGTCACTTAGTATATATGACATTTGCATTGCCTACTGAAAACTAAAACTGATGTAAAGCGGTCATACTTACAGTTAGAAGAAATACAGTGTTGAATCCAGATTGCATTTTCCAGTAATTTGCCACTTGCATCAGCAGAGTGGAAGTTTCTTCTCCACCCTTTCTGGCTGCAGCCCACTGATCTTCCTCCAAATACAGCTCATCCAGGATAGGAGACCCCACCCTAGAACAGCAGGAAAGCAAATGCGGGGTCTGCAGTGGGAAGGGGGAATCAGCCCCTCTTCCATTAGCGAATAATTTAGCATACAGTACTAGAGAAGGCTGCTAGAATGGGATATTGCAAGTTTGAATACTCCTCCATGTCAAGAACTCTCTAGACCAGAATGCTAGGTCATGAGAGAGGGTGTTTGTGTTCCACATGCCCAAAATAAAGGACAAAGATTATATTAAAGGTAAAGGTAAAGGTTCCCTTGCTCGAAAGCCAGTCGAATCCGACTCTAGGGTTGCGGTGCTCATCTCCGTTTCAAAGCCGAAGAGCCAGCGCTGTCCGAAGACTTTTCCGTGGTCATGTGGCCGGCATGGCTAAACACCAAGGCGCACGGAACGCTGTTGCCTTCCCACTGAAGTGGTACCTATTTATCTACTTGCAATTTCCTGCTTTCAAACTGCTAGGTTGGCAGGAGCTGGAACTAGAGACGGGAGCTCACTCCGTCATGCGGCACTCGGGTCTCGAACTGCTGAACTACCAACCTTCCACAGCCTGCAGTTCAGTGGTGGATAGTTAATTCCCTAAGATACCAGTTGGGATCTCTAGGCAATTATCTGGCTTAAAGCACTGATTTCTTAAAAAAAATATTAATAATAAGGTCAGGATACAACCATGGTCATCATATATACAGATGTATATAAAGCACTGATTTTAGGTAAAATCTGAAGCTAAAAATACTCTGGTATCAGACACATAGCCCAGGTTCAAGAAAAGTGCATACTGTTTGAAAGTAATTGCGGATAAGCATTCAGCCATGTAAATTTGCATATGAGGGAAAAGGAAACAAGTTCTCTTCCCAAATCAGTAAACATTTACTTGTCCATGCAAATTGATATTTTAACTAAAAAGGATTCTTTGTAAAAAATTTATTTGCCCACAGTTAGCAAACTGAATAAAAACATGTTAGGTAAAATACAACAATGTTCAAAGACGTTTCCTGAAACCTTACAGAATGTCTATTTTTTTCTTTTTGTCCATAACAACCGAAAACTAGGAATACATTTCTGCACATTACCACTAATGCTTAGCCTTTATATAGCTTTTTAAAATGTTCAAAGTGCTTTACATACATTAATACATTGGCACTGAGCTTTTGGAATATCTGTCTGAAGTCAAAGTAAACCAACATATTTGTTGTACTGCAAAAGATACAGTTGTTTAAAGGCAGTGCCTAAAGTGGTTTCTTGCTGAAGTTGTCACTCATCTTTTGGTACTCCCTTCCCAGACAGCTTTCTTTGCTTTATTCTACCTTTAAGAATAAGACTTTTTTAAAAAAATTGTAAAACATTTTCAGTCATGTCATGTTATTAGGTATACTTAAACTCTCCAACAATCAGTTTTCATGCTCAGGTTTATACTATTTTGCTGCTGTTTTTTGTTACTTTGCTTTGTGCTTTATTATTATTGTTTGGGGAATGTGTTTGAATTTATTGACAGTTTTATTTTTGTTTTGTAAGTTGCTTTGGCTGTGTTTTTATGATACGAAGGCAGAGAAACTGTCAGATACAAGTAAGAGGTACTTTAGCCCACATAGAGCAAACATTTATTTTTATGTGGTTACCACCTTTGGAGTTCAGTCATTTAAAAGAAATTTAAAAATAAGGCTTTAATCCTTTGCAGAATTTCTTTGGAAGTAAACCCTCACTGAATGTAGCAGCTTGGATCCATCCAGCCCAGTATTTCTGTGTGCTGAAGGGCTCTCACTTGTGGAGCATGACGTTCTGGCACCCCTTTCATTCTCCTGGTGCAGCCTATGATGCCCCATGAAATGCTGCCTCCTGGCTAGACGGCTTGTGTTTTGAGTAAATGTGCATAGGAGTAGGTGCATAATACATATTTACACAATAGCTAGACATATTTAGCTTTCAGAAATATTGAACTGCTAGGCAAATATATTTTGAAGTATTCTAAAAACAGGCAACAGATCTATTTTCAGGCCTGTTTTGACAAATTGTTTAAATTTTGTGTTGGTTCAAGATTTAAATAAAAACAAACTTAAGAAAAGCAGGTAAAAGTGTTCAAATTTTAGGACAGACTAAAGCAAGAGGCTGAGGCTTTTTTACACATCAGTTTCATGGTGACCTTTGCTGTACGTTATGTGAACACCCTTGCCCAGCATTGTGCTCAGAAGGGTGGCATATAAATCAATCAATAAATGAGAGGGAAAGAAAATTTAAGGACACTGTAGCTTAGTGAAAGCCTCAACAGAACTTGCCACTAAACACAAGGATGTTAAAACTGACAACATAATTGCCATGCAGCCATCCTCGTGTCCGTTTGCCATAAAAATAAAATAAGACAGATGGGAGAACAACACAGGAAAAAAACACAGGAAAAGAAATTGAATGCAACAGATTGACAGTGGCATGGTTTGGACTCTTTAATAAAGGAATGGGATGTCTGTTCCAGACTAAGTGGCTAGTGTGGAACAAGTCATGGCATTGGTCTCACATAAAGTGTCAAGTGGAGCTGAAATATATTTTAACTTTATTTTTCTTGTCTTGAAAATAACCAAGTGCATGTCTCTTGCAGTATCTATTTTTTATAATCTGGGAAGATTCAATGTCTTTCAGTTTATGAAAAGAGCTGTATGTTAAATACACCTGTGTGGTGAGACTCTGTATTCACTTGTAATACCTGGAAACAGGGTCCCCGGGAAGCGGTTATTTGGCTTGCTGTGCTTCATAAGCAGAAGAAGGCAGTTGAAATTTTCTCAAGAGAGATTGCACCAGCTGGAACAGGAATGGGTATGTCTTGAATCTTTTCCCCATCTTCATTGGATATTTGCATTGTTCCTTTGTTGTCATGTTTTATAAACCAACATTGTTATTCTACTATGTAAAAGTGAGAGTCAGAGACCTGTCTTTCACAGATTCCTTACTCCCATCTATCTGTGGTCATGGCATCAGTTAAAATAAATATGTGCGTGCAAAACAGAACTAGCTCTGCCATTGGTATTCAAAACACAAAGATAATTTATTTCTGTGTAAAGCCAGTGTAACTGTAGCTGAAAAACTGATGGTTCAGTCCTAAGCAGAGTTACAATGCTTTTAAGAAGGGTAATTAAGTCAGTGGGCTTAGAAGGGTGTAACTCTGTTTAGGATTGCACTGTTAGGGTTGTTGCCTACCACTCCATTGAGCTAAGTATGGAGCCTTCCTCCAACAGAAAAAGGTTTTCTTAGAAGAAGAGCCTCTTCCATGAGAGAAAGTGTCTGTACTTCGCTGGGTGGACTGACTATATACAAGCCATGTTTTGTGCCTTTAACCAGGAACGCCCTTGTTCAAATCTTGAGTGTACTGTGAATTCACTAGGAGGTCTTAGGCAAGACTCTATCAGGTCATTATGACTTACTTTGTGTGTAAAGATTACAGTATGAATATATATATATTTCATATTCAGGTGGGTAGCCATGTTGGTCTGAAGCAGCAGAACAAAGCTTGAGTCCAGTGGCACCTTTAAGACCAACAAAGTTTAAATCTGGGTGTAAGCTTTCATGTGCATACACACTTCTTCAGCACTCTGAACATTTTAAATAGCTATATAAATGCTTAATAGTTAAATGCAAAAGTGTTATGGACAAAAAGAGAAAAAAATAGACATTCTGTAAGGTTTCAGGAAATAATGCCTTACACGTTTTTATTCAGTTTGTAAAAGTTTTATTTGTCCACAGTTAGCAAAGAGTTCTTCTTAGTTAAAATATTCATTTGCATGGACAAGAACGCGTTTACTAATTTGGGAAGAGAACAGTAACTTTTCCCCATTGCTAAATCTTCTCAGTATAACAGGAGTCTTTTAGATCAAAGACTAGCAAAGAAAAACATTATCTTTTATAAGGCATATTTCTTTTCTGTGTGAGAGAAAATTCCCATACATAGTAGGATCCCTTTAACTCCTCTGATTGATCAAATTACTTTAGCTCTGGAGCTTGAGTAGTGGACTTGGAAGGCCTTAACTACACATTATGTTTTCTCTGGGTCCTCTATAGGTCTGCATGATTAGATGCGTGTTACCGTTCTGTGCTAGAAACTCAATTCCCATGTTCACAAGGCCCATTCAGATTGGGACTGAGGCACATAAGATTGTGGTTTATGCCTTCCCCCCATGCCATTTTCCTTACAAGACACTGCTCCGTGGGCTACCGTTTTCCCTGTTGAGGGCTCTGCATGTACTGATGGGATATATCTAGGAGCAAATAGCAGCATCCTTGGGACTGTTTCCGATCAGGAAAGCAAAAGTTCGTGCTATCTGCATGCCATAGCCAGGGGTCATTTGGGGGGGACACGGGGGGACGCCATCCCCCTGGGTGAGGTGCGGGAGGGCGGGGCCTGGAGCTCCCTGCTGGTGCCCGCTGGAGGTCGCCGCCGGCTGTGGGGAGGACACACTTCCGGTGATGTCAGGGGGTGTGGCATATGCTAATGAGTTATGCTAATGAGTCCCCCTAGCTCTTTTTCTATGAAATGACCCCTGCATAGACCTGATCTAAATAGGGCTTGCACATGCCAAAGAATTATATCCTCAGTGTAGAACTTGCAACACAGTTTGATCACAAGGACCTGGGAAAAAATAACATGTAGTTAGTTCCTAAGAGGAGGACAAAGGCACTTGGAGATGTTTCATTCCTTATAACAATTCATAGCACTGCCTATGCACATGTTTGTTGTGCATGCTGATGAGAGGAAGAGGAAAGGAGGAACAAGGGCTCTGAGCCTTGTGGGGATCCCTCTGTACTGACACTGTGGCCTTATGTAGACAAGGGTCATGTCCTTCATGTTCCAAATGACTGCTTCTAAAAGAAAATGCTTCCAATTTAATGACTAAGGGAATTACATTACATTCTGAGAGCTGCATGGAAGCTCCTTAAATCATCAAGTTGTCCACTTTTATTGGATTGCTTCACACACAACAAAATGTCTGAGTAGATACTCATATCTGTTCTCACAATTGTGCTTCCTCAAGTTGTTGTAGTATCGGTTATTTTTCCTCCACAATCCCCGTCTCTCATTATATTTGAGTTTTCGTGTCCCTCTTGCCTCAACGTTCCACACGCCCCCACAGCCTTTTGCTCCGAGGCCTGTCACGCAGGAGGTCTGCCAATCCCCTGGCTGCATTCCCTCACTGTGATGCCTCAGTCCCGCCCACAGAGCCGCCGGCCACCATCTCGCCCTCAGTCTGTAGCGAACCGGAAAAGGCAAGGACACTCCCCTGGCTGGAGGCTACGGAGACCCACTGGGAGGGTGGGCGGGCAAAAGGCCAAAACACTGAGACTGTGGTGGAGCGGCACTGACAGTCCCCTCATGCCCACTTCTCCTTCTCTCTATCCTCCCACCCCGGTGAGATACAGCCCCCTCAGAAGCGCGGGGCCGAGTGTCGGAGAACTGCTGGCAGCGCCTCAAGCGCCATGCAACAACACAGTCTGTGAGACAGTCCACAGCCCCCCGGGAGACAGTCCACGACTCCGGCCAAGGCCAGGGGAGGATGAACCTCTGGCTCCAAGGGAGCCCGCCCAGCACTCACTTCAGGGTCCCCTGCCGCCTTCGGAGTTCTCCTCCACTCCGAAGGCAAGCCGACAACACACGCCTGCTGCTGGTGGTGCCAGTCACAGCCAGGGAAGGGCCACGGCGATGGCGGCGGAGGCACCCCGCCAGGCCCATTGGGGAGAGGCTCCCCTTGCGAGGTCATGATGGCATTGCTCCCCATCTCTGAGCCCAGCCTGGAAACACCACTCTCCCCCCTTCACCGGGCCCATCTCCCCCTCTCTGCTCCACTGCCCTCTGGTACAAGATGCTCACACCCTGCCCTGTGCTGTGCCACCACCCAGGGAATCCTCGGGTCTTCCCCCCCTCGAGGGGATGAGAGCTGCTGGCTGCCCCAGCCAACTTCCTTTCACAGCGTGAGGCGAGTACCGCCCCCTTCCAAGCGGGACAGACTGCACACCGATTCTACAGGGAGCTCTTCTATGCGCTTCCCATGGCCTGCCCCCTGGAGTAGACGGCGACCATGGAGGAGGACGAGGCTGACATCCACAAGCTCCACAGGCCCCGCCACTTGCTCAGCAACTGAGGGCAGCACTCCCTACCCGAAGCCACTAGAGATGCGTCGCACTGAGACACTGATGTAAGCCCCTTTCTAGAGCTCATTGTCTTCATTCTCACAACGGGCCTTCTTCCTAGTAGGGTATGAAACCGTGTTTCTGTCTCCTCACATTTTCAATTTTTATCCTTTCCCCCCCCTCCTTCCAGCTTCTGGCATCTTCCTACTACCTTACTATTGCGAATCTTCTTTGCCCCTTCTTTGTCATGACTCAGGAAAGATTTTATACTGTCTTTCAGTTTGTTTAATCCCTTCATGAGTGGGCTATGATAGAGATTGAATTTTTCATGCCAGTAATCTGGTCAACCTTCATATGATTGTGATTTATTTGTAGTCCTAATCAGGATGAAGGTCTTGGCCTCTGTACCCTGTTGTTAGCCCTTCAGAGTAACTAGTTGGCCACTGTGTGAGATAGGATGCTGGACTAGATGGACCACTGGTCTGATCTTACGTTCTTACGTGCAAGAATTTGATGTATTTGATCAAGCTACCTTTGTTGCATTTGATCAAGCTACCTTTGTTCCCTTATAGTAGCATGTTTCATGAATTGCTGGGGACATGGAAACACAGCTGTATTAAATCATTTGTGCAGTTAAACTGCAAGCCACAAATGCCAAACCTTAACTTTATAACATTGAAGTTGGTTTAAAAGGGGAGTAATCTGCCTCAGGAAAAGTCACTTTTAAAGGAACATTCTAAATACTATCTGTACTTGGAAACTGTAGTGTGCAAAATTCTACTGTGTGTGTGTAAAGTGCCATCAAGGTGCAGCCAACGTCTGACCTCCACAGAACAGAGCTTTCAAATCAAGTAAGAAGCAAAGGTGGTTTGCCATTGCTTCCTTTGCAGAGTCTTCCTTGGTGGTCTCCCTTCCAAGTACTGACCCTGCTTATCTTCTGAGATCTGATGAGATCAGGCTATACCATGCCACCTTCCCTCCCTGAAATTGTACTGGAGTGAAAATAATATGTGATAGCCCTTAGCACAAACAATATGAGCTGCAATGCTGAATCCCATTAATTTTAAGTGTGTCTTCTATGACACTACTTTTATCTATTGAACTTCTGCAGTTATGCAGATTGCACTGGTCAAATATACAAAATGTGAACATGTTTAGAATATGAATGTGGGCTTACTTTTTAGGTCTTAATGTACTTTGAATTAACTTTGCAGTAAAATAATTATGCTGCTTGGGACAGCAGAGGCGTATTATCTATGTAGGCGTGTGAATACACTGTTATTGCTTCTGCAGTGGACCAGAGACAGTGTTAATGCACTTGGTTGATTTAAACCTGTGTTTACAGAAGCAGGGTCACTGTATGGTCACAGTCTGTAATTGGCAATAAAATGTATCTTGTACCAAACAGAGCAAAGTAAAGACATACTTATCTATATGATTTTAAATATTGTTAACACAAGACAGAAGTAACCATCTTGACCTTTGTTACTGATGTTTGCTTGCAGAAGAATTTTTTTACCTTAGCAATGTATTTCCTACTGGAGCATATCTGCATAAATACTATTAAAACCCATTCCTCTGAACACTTGTAAATGTAAATACAATGCTCATAAATATTAGTGACAGTCGAAAGTACATTATAAACATGGGAAGTCTTAATAAATATTGACTCATTATTCCTGTACCATATTATGATA